GCAAAACTGACAACATATGTGTATATTTAGATTTTGATATCAATATAACTTGGATGGCAAAAATAATCAGAGCAAGTGGAAAATATGTTGGGTGGATATCACCCTCTTTACAAGCTTATTTAGAGCGGTGCGCCTTAGAACTTAAAGAAACCAATTGAGAGAAAGAAGCTTGAGAACCTATTAGTCATAATCACTGTAAAACGCCACGACTATCAGGAAATATTTTGTAAAAATCATGGCATCTCATTTTTGATTTTGTTCTCCCTTTCTAACTGATATTAAGTCTTAGTTAGATGACCACAACACAATCACATGTCATTCAAGTCAGGTCATGAAACGCTGGTATCGCTTATTGCTGAGCATGATCACGAATGCAGGAATGTGATAATTCTGGTGTTTTGAGAATGAATTGATCTTCAATGTTTACAATTATTTAAACTGACGTAGGATAAACCAACAACTGATAGCTCCTTCTTTGTTAAAGTTCGAAAGACTCCACTTGATATATTTGTCACGGGTGCAAAGAAAAGCAAAAAAAAAAAAAACGCTTAGGACTTGTTTTGATCACAACTACATCAAGGACAATACTTGAAAATCCTTTTAGCGGTTGCATTTCCGTATTTAACCAGTGCATTTTGTATTCTGGCAATACTATGATATCACGTGATAAAAAAGTAACACAAAATTCCAAATTATAAGTTTGAAAACCCTGGAAGAGTCTCGCGTTTTTAAATTTCTCGGAATTGCATTCAAGATCATTAATCAAACATGACGCTTCAGTAGATGCACAGGATGGTTCTAGATTGTAGAGAATACATAGATAGAATGCCAGTAATAGGCGTAACCAAAAGGGCGATAATTTGTAGACACCCGCATACAATCGCACAAGACTCAGTCATATCAAAGTTTTGCGAAGATTCTACTGATATTTTTTTATCTTTGGAATACAATCTTTTTCTTTTAAGTCAACAATTTCCTTAATTATCAATACTTTTGAAATGGATGAAACTAAAGGAAAAGCTCGAGAAAAGATGTCCTCTGAACATTCTCTCGAAGCATTACCTCCAAATATAGACGTTTTCAAACATAAAACAGTAGTAACATTAAGTACGCCTTCGGTTAGAACTTAAGTTGTATGAAATAAAAGAATCACTGTGATCATTAAAACAAACGATGCGCGGCAAAAATACATAACTGATGAACATATTTACAACCAAGATTGATGGATTGTATTTAGAAAACCCCCTATGAAAAGAATTGGTATCGACTTGAACGAATGCACCCTAGTTACACTGATATCGCAACGTTGTCCATGGTTTCGAGTAGTTTCAGATATTCTGGTTTTTAAGTAGTTACACCCTGAACCACCATTTTACGTGACAACTCGGCCAACAATTTTAAAAATGGTCAGCTTGGAATGAAAACTACGCGGTTGGGTGAACACTTTGATTGGTTATTAAAGGTCGTAGTTTTATGTCCATTCTTAAATAATTCAATTTAATGATGAGATAAAGGCAAATATTCCAACTTAATAAAGGGCCCTCATTCGCTTAAACATTTTCAAAACTGATTGAAGAATCAATGTGAATGACTAACAGAAAAAGTCTCTGAAGTAGCTTTTGACAAAGGAAAATAGCAGTAAACTGTTAGGTACATCTATCAGCGAAAATACAAATAGGTAGAGCCATATGAAAAAAATATGCTAATCTTATTTAATTTTAAGATTCATAATATCTTTGCGAAATTCTACTTGATTTAGCCCGCAATTTTTTAAATCTGCTACCACGGGGAGGAATACATAACCCTCCATGGCAATTATCAGCCATGCATGTGTACAATTTTATAAGCACAGCACGTGTTGGAGCTAACAACTCCAGTGCCTACAAGACAAAATATGATTCATAATTGCTAATTTGGTTTAACTTCAAGCTCAATGCTTTAAAAAGCATTATCATTTACTATGATTCGAAGCCACTCAAAACGGAAAGTTCTGCCGAAAGATTTCAAAGTGTACCACCAAATTGAAATTTAATAACGTTGTCTTTTATCTTTTATCTGGCGCCAAAAGCGGTCATCTCAAAAAATTTCGCGACTTTTAAAAGAAAATCAGTTTTACCGCTAGACACGTTTATTTTCTTTACAGACAAAATTAGCGAAGAGATAACAAAAGTTACGATGAAAATAACGTGCTTAATAAACCCTTAATAAATGTTTAAAAGTCTTACTGAGATTTAGCCGCATTACAACCTTTTAGGTGACTTTCTTTGGAAAAACTTTCCCAAGCATGTAAGTAAAGTAATAGGGCAAAGAATAGCACACATTTTTTCCAAACTGCACCTGTAGAGCGCGTAAATTGCGCAATTTTTTTTCAACTACACCTGTGGGACGCGTGTGTCAGAGAAAGACATGATAATAACTGGAAGGCATTTCTGATATGGATCTAAGTGGCTAATACATGCGAGATAAAAATCTTGTCATACGTTTAACTGTTGTGAGTGATTAATTCAGAAAAATTAACCTGTTACCCTCAATATAGATTAAAATCTGACAAATTTGCTGGAAACTCGAGGCCGCCACCAACACTAGGACACAAGAAGTAACTTTCTAATCATAACAGTTTTACAATATCGAAGGATCAAGGCAACGCAAAATTATACTCATGGCAAAGCCAATGACTTCACTTTGCTTACTCACATAAAGTCACTTTTGGAACTCTACTTTAGATTTCAAATCTTATGTCTACCATAAAGACCAGATGGTAAGAAGTGTAATTAATTTGTAAGTTGTATAGGACTTAATCATTATCTCATTTATAATAAAGAAACGTTTTGAGAAATAGTGTATAAGCCGTTTAAATCCCGACGCATACAATCAGTAAGCCAGTTTATTTGCTGCGATATTTTCGGGGCACATATTTAAGACATGTTCGCTTTCTGTACCCGCCCTAACGAATATCAGTCCTTTGTTGCACGTGAAAACAATGAGAAGCTGAATATTGAAGACTCCTAGACCCTCCGCAAACAGTATTTGAAACAAACTAAACCTAATGGCATTTTCACAGCCTAAATTTACCACACATACACACTAATAGATTCTAATACATAGTTTTACCAATCCAACACAGCCCACAACGACATTGAGACTGATTTTAGCCTTAGCTCTTTTGTTAAGGTCTGTCAGGCGACGACAGAGGAAGAATAATGATGCGCCACATCATGCCAGCCAGTTGATTTGTAAGCGAAAATGAACTTATATTTCACCACTTCTTTTGCGATAAGTTAACTTCCAGCATAGTTCCCACGCACCCCATCTGCCCATCTAGTGTTTTTCTTTTATAATGAAATACCCCACATCTTTTTTTTTCTCAAGCGTACAGAACAAAGAAAACGCTTTCGGTCCCTGAGAGGAATCGAGCCCTTGATCTCCTTGGCACCATATGGTTGGAGTGATCTGTACATTACTCTCCATCAGAGAAATTCACATACATAGAAATGATTCTGTGATATCAACAAAACGATGACCAAACATTCTGAGGGGAGTAATGATTTGTTTAGCCGTTTAAGAAGGGAATCTTAAGTCTAAGTCTTCCATTCCAAATAATTTCACTTAATTTGTCAAATAATGCAACAAGCATTTTTATTTTATACGAGTAAATCACACACATAGCAAATGTTTCTGGAATTTTCAGGTGATATTGATATAATCGTATTGATTTTTTAACTTGCTTTTTGCGTAATTAAATTGACTTTTTATCCATCTCTTCTTTGTCAGTGACGTTTCATTGATGAATACAAAAACCCCAGAGAAAATCGCGTCACGATTGGAAAATCTTGCAATTGAATTTTATGCTTCTTTTTCCAGAGATAACGCGAACCCGCTTGATTTAACATATTAAACAACTTGACTCAAACTCATCGCTGAAGAGCTGCAAAACCGTCTTGCGCAGGGTTGTTCCCTGACCCATGGAAAAATGTCAACGTTTAGCCCATAGCTTTCATCTACGCTTAGACACGCTAACTTTATTTTGAGACCATACAAGAATTTAATCGTTTGAAGATGACGACCGACTTTTCAAAGACTTTTAAGAACGTTCACATTCAACAGCTAGATGTGATTCTGGCAGAGTGTATTTTAGACTGTCATCTTTCCACTGTGCCACCAAAGACCAGCAATACTGTACAGCAAAACAGCCATCAAGGGCAGTGTCTTAAGCTTGTTTTCAGCTTAAAGAACTGAGTACTAATGAAACTATATCTTGTGAAATACCATATTAGCAACGAATACCTATCGCCAGCGGACAGTACACTTACTTATAATAGAGATGTTCTATTTCTATCAAACAGCCCATGGCCAGTCAGGCTAACAATAACGGAAGGCAATTTGTCCTTCATCACCAGATTGACTAACGGATTACATTACAACCGTTAAAGAATTCAATTATAGAGGGTAGAGTGTGTACAAGCACTTCCCAACCAACTACCCGGAGGCTTGAGAAACAACTGAACTTATTTTTTTAATTAATATTCAAAGCTAGCGTTCGCAAATAGCAAAATAAATTTCAGTTGCCTTATTTTAAAACCATCGGGGAAATAGTAACTCAGAAGAGATGAAATTGGAATTAGCCAATATCACTTCCCGTACGCAAGTTATAAGAGTAATCTCTATAATGTACTGACTTTAAGGGCGGAGATTTGGTCAAGTGAAGTAATACCAGCATGCCTGTACTGTGAAAGTTCTTAGAGTGCAATGTCCAGTGGGAGTCAAACATACCTGTACAAAGGCATAGGGCGTGGAATCAGAACAAATTGACGTCCATTCCGAAAAAAAAAGAAACGAAACGAAAAACAAACTGTGGCATAAAGGGAATCTCTAGTATTTCAGGCACAACTGAGAGCTGTTTTTAAGTATTTGCTCATTATAGCCACCGGAAAAGTTCATAAGGGAGAAATAATGTGACAGGATGCGGACTTATACCCTCCATTAAATAGTGCTTATCTTACCTTAGCAATACGGATTAGCGAGAGAGCAGATCTTTGTATGTCAGCTCAGCAGAAAGAAAACGCAACGATATCTTAGAGTGTAGCCTCGTGAAGCACAACAGAATGGACCGCAACTGGCATAAAATCAAGTTATGACACGTAGTCTCCGAAGCGCGACACAAACATTTCGTGAGAGAACAGAAGTGCTTTTACGTTAGTCGTGTAGTGGCACAAGGGCAACTGTAGGAATCAAGTATCCGGAATAGACGAAAAACACTTCAGTGTACAACGAAGTGTGAAGAGAACAAAGAAACTAATGGGAGGACAAAGGAAAAGCTGAAGTAAGAGAAACCAAAACAGTTTATCATCGCGTGTTGAGTCAATCATCTGTGTCATTCACTTATGGGTGTCTACGCAATGCCCGAGGAATACAGAGCTAATTGTACAGTTGATCAACATTGAGGAGGAGAGATGACTCCGTTACAATCATCTTAACACATGGAAAAGTTCTCCAAAGACAACAAATGATACATAACCAGCTTTAACTTACAATGTTTACATAACTTTGCCGTATCCATTTCGTGACTAGCTGATTGCTGATCGTTAGTTACAGACGAGAGACCGAGTTAAAGACCAGGAGGGGGTAATTATACTTCCCGAAATAGACAGCTTTAATGGCCGTAAAATCGAGGAAACCATTTAAGGTGTAATCAGAGGTCAAAAAGAGGTAGCCTACATTGAGATAATGAGACTAAGTCACGCGATGGCGTGAGAATATTCCAGCCATACAGGTGTCTAAATGTTTCGAGTCTGTTTAAGTGAAAATGCGATACACGCAAGCCGATTCATCTTTCAAAGTAGATAATATAAAGTCCCAGCTACATACAAGCCAGTAACCTTCCAAAAATAGTTACAAGTAACCCATTTCAAAAGGTTGTAAGTGATAAATGCTAAAGGAAGTACCAAGGAAATACTTGCGTGATTCAAGGTCTCATATGAACCTTTTCCGGAACATTCCATGTGTTGCGCAAAACCCCCCACAAATGACAAAGATTAAGTCCTCACACACGGAGCCTGTTATCTATAAAAAATTGATTCCCTCACAAAACTATGACACATGGTCGTTGCCAAGTACAAACCATAACAAATAGATAATACTATTATGATACATGAGGTATCACGATTATATTCTAGATGAGAAAACATGGAATAAGTATCATTATGCGCAGCAGTTTTAATTTGCTTCACCACTGGAAGGTTTCACTATGCCATCTGCCCCTTGAAAACCGCAGTAAAAAAAAGCAAAACAAAAAACTCGGTGTAATGGTCAAAACTGTACTTCATCAACAACTGGGTTAAACAATTATAAAGTAAAGTTTCCACCGGGATGGCAAACAACGGTTACAGCCATTTTCCAAAAAGTAATAACAAGAACTTTAAATGAAAATCACAAACTAAGAAAAGAAAGTTCCCAATCATGCGAAAAGGCCGAAAACGTGAAATAAGAAAATGATTTATAAGAATAACCTGTAAATAAGAAAGTACCTTTTATTGCTAAAACAACAATAAGATTAAAAGTACTTGGAAAAAATGTAACAGGTTTACAGTGCACCGTATGACCAGCTATGAAATGCTGAAGGAAAAAACTAAGCAAACAAATGCTCTGTAAATAACACTTGGTCATGACATCACCAACAGTTATAGGCTCGTCAACTCAAATCTTCCGTCAGTAAGAAGATCACGGGAGCATTATTCATCACAATTAACTTGATGCACTCAAGATGACACTTCAGTCCATAATTAAAAAATCAAACCTGTAAAAATTAACATAACAATACTAAGATTTACAAGTTTCGAATGCCTTCGTTGAAAAATAAAATGACTAGTTGTGGAGAATGTATTGGACTGATTCCTCAACTATTACTAAATTGAGTTGTACAGAAGAATACTTTAGAAGGTATATAGTGTCTCAGGACTAACCACTCGTTTGTATGGTCCACAATAAAAACCTCATTTGATACGTCACAAATAAAACGTGTCTGTTCCTGACCAGAATACGTCTTATCAATAAATATAAGGAGTCTTTTCGAAGGAGGAAGCGAACATACGACTGAACAACATGGAAACTCCGGTAGAGAGGACATATACGGTGTTCGCCTGTGACTAGTGTCTTGCAAAATTCTAGGAATGGCAAACGATAGAAGAAGGATAAGACACTGGGCAAAACATTATCACTCGCGTCCTTTCAATTTCATTCAAAGTCAAGAGTACAATAGGAGAAGATGGCAGCTGTAGTCGGATCAATCTAAACAAGATAGGGTTATCATGCTTGTTTCAGCAGACTCAGTGACATTCTTAGCAGTGACTGTACCATAATCGTCATTCCCCGTGTGGGGAAAAGACTGAGTGGGAATGAGGATGGGTCAGGACTTGATGAACAAAGGATAAGTATGCTAGAAATTCGAATAATAAGAAAAATTTGGGATCTTCGGTTTTTTCGGAAATAAATCACTCAAATTGGGTTTACCACTTGATTCACGCGCACGCTATTTCTAGCAACTTACAAGGAGTACTTTTTGTTAAAACAAATAACGTAGGTCGCCATTTTGGAGGATTTTCAGATGTGAAAGATGATTCTTTTAACTAATAGCTACTTGCTAGAATTTGATGTTTAATCTAAATAACATCCGCCAGTTCTTAACATGCTTCAGTCATATTACCTTAGTCATTCCTTTCCCTTTTCCTTTGGTTCTCTTTTTTGGCATTAGGGTGAGACAGAAGATAAATATCCAAACAACAAGAGTTATTCAAGTTCTGCTATTGTTTGTTATAATTCTCAAATTGATTATGGGCTACTAACGACTGTTGACGAGCATGCTTGGCAAGCGTCGTTCGTAGTTTCGAATACCAAGAGACCTCTCAGTTGTGCGATTAATACTCAATGCTATTTTAAAATCTGCCTCCACCATGCCATCCTTTAACTAAAAGATGAGATTTTTTTCTAATTTTGCCATGAAATGCACTCCTTTTACTCAAGGTTTTAAATATATCTTATTAACCAAGCGCGAGGGCCGTACTGGGAGAATATCGGCCCGAGGTCTTGACAGTACGGACCGAGCCCAGCTCGGTCCGTACAAAAAAGACCGAGGGCCGACATTCTTCCAGTACGGTCCCGAGCAAGCTTGGTTAATAAGAGATTTATTATACGACTGAAGTTCAAAGGGACACAAGTGCGGTATCATTCGGGACCATTCGGGACAGTGCCCGGTCCAATACTGAGAGAATATTGACTGGCAATAGAGCATTTTGATTGGTTGATTTTAGTCATTGGCCCTCTGACTGCCCGAGTCGTGTAATAAATTTGATTATTTTCTTCTAAGAAGTAAAAAAAAAAAAACGGTAATCTAAAGCTACTGCTTCTCTGAAAATCATCGAGAGGTCATTAGGACAGATATTTGGGTTTATAGTGTAGCATGCTCAATAAGATACACTGAATGCTTCCGTCAGCCTTCTGAAGGTCTTAGAAGGACATTCAATTTACCTGTTACCGGTTTTGAAAACGAGAACTAGTGCACGAATGCGATAAATATATTGATGGAACTGGTCTGTGTCTAATCAGTATTTGAAGCCCGGTGAACCCGCCCCATTGTAACTTCGCCCCCTTAAGAAAAACGAGTTCTTCCCCCACCTTCATCAGTTGACTCCTTAATCATTCAACCCTTTTTTATCATTGTTACTGATTATCATTACTATTATCATTACTTCTTTGATGCCGCAAAACGCTGGGCCCAACGACACATGAGTGCGAACATCGTATTACAAAATATGTACGTTAGTCATTGCTATAAAACTCGATAAAATAATTGATGGCTCCTAAAGGAGCCGTTTTTGTTTGATTTTTTCCTTGAAAGAAAAGCAGTGAATTGTCCGCCAAGAGTGTCTTTATGTAATGCCGTTGAAACCAGAGAGTAAAGCGTATGTTTCGCATGGCATGACATAAAAAGTGGGAAAGAGGGACCAACGGACTTTTCATACACCACCAACACATTGTGTAGAAGGCCATGGTATCTAAAAGAAAAGCAGGAGTTTTTAGGACTTTTTTTTCGGTCTAGGTTGGATCAAATATATATTAACTAAAACGCTAATCTTAAGGCTCATAACTGAAACCAACTACCGTTACGTATGTGTAGCCCTCAGAGACAGGAAAAGATTATTTGATGAGATACTATCTTCGAGGACAGCAAAGAAAGCGAAGGCAAATGATATGATGGACATGCAAATAACTTTCCCGCAACTATTAAATGTGGGCATACGTTACTCGGGACTATGCATTTCAACGACGCATTGCAGTCAACATTTTATTTGGAATACCTGAATTTCACCAACACTTCTTTCATGTTGGAGACATTGGTATTTTATGGTTTGCACCCTTGACTCCAGAGATCGCGAGGCCAAGGTAGGCCAGGCTGGGGCGCTTAGGGTGGCAATATCTCTCTCCAAACTAGAACTATAAACAGGCACATTTGCTCTTTTGTAATGGATTTAAACATTTCTTTTATATAATTAAACATGATTCACTTCTAAAGTAAGATCATGAAGAATATTGCATGTGTGGTAACACAAGTGGTACCGTGAAATACTGAGAAAGTAATACCTTACCTTTCTGCTCATATCTTGTTTCTGCAAATGCCTCTGACCTTGAGTTTGGTAACAGACATCTCTTGCGGGAGTGTTAGTCAATATTCCTGGTCGCATTATGCTTTTGAAGCCGGGATATGCATAGGCTCCGTAAGAAATTTCTGCTAACTTCCATCCTTTGCTCAGTATAAATACCATTCTCTAAAACAACTCTCATGAGTTGTTCTGAATGACTATTAGTCTTGTTTACCTCTGTCTCAGAGGAATAGCCAAGAAGCAGAAGCTGGGCAACTGTGTTTCATTCTGATTCACGGAATGAAACGACTGAAACATATTACGGCGATTATGGTTATTTAGGATTCAACCGAAACTTGTTAAACGTTTTTTAGACATACATAAAGGAATATAAAAACATACTAGAAGTAAAGAAAATTTGATGACAAGCTCGCAGACTTACCATCTCTTTACGTACGTTGATATGAGCTGAAAATCCCTAAACGTCCTCTGGAGAGATTGTGATGGTCCTGTCAACCCAAAGTAAGGTATACAAGTGTTAAAACTAAAATATTAGCACAATCACTGTACTAAAATACCCGTGAGCAAGATGAACAAAAATCTGTCTTTTTTACAAATCTTATAATTTCTGCAAGGTCAACTGTTTGAAAAAAAATGTGATGGAATTTTGAAGTCTGAGTGCAAGTTAAAGCTAAACTGAAAAGAAGCCTGGATTTTTGAGGCCTTTTTAGAATCGCTGTAAACCCGAATTAAACTTCTTCATTATTAAAATGCTATTGCAGGGGAACATGTAAAAAACCTGGTTAATTTTATATTACAGTGTTGAGAACTTAAACTTTGTTGTATCTAGCTGAAGCATTAGAAATTCCTTGAAAAGTCAACTGAGTTTAATATTGAAAGTAGCAAAAATTAAAGTCAAGACCAATGTATTCAAACTATTGATTCATTTTGATAGTTCATATAACAATAAAAGGTTTTACTATTTATACTTTCATTAATAAGAATTGCTTTATACAGTTTAAGCATCTATTGGTTTCAAAACATGTGCATAATTCACATCGTTATTATTCCTACCATAATGATTATCACTGTTTCATTATAATTCATATCATTATCATTATTACTGGTACTATCATATCCTTGTTTTTGTCATCACCATCCTAATTGTTAAGTTATCTTGTGATGAAAGAGCACAAGTCCAGCCTCTCCTTGGATTCTACTGATACCAGAAAGATAGTTCCTGACCTAAAGAGGAGCCAGATCCTGTAACCTAATAGAGGACTTGACATGTACATGATAAGCTGTAATAAAGTATGGTCAAACCCTAATTATCCAGACTCTTGGAGACAGCTGAATTGTTCACAAAAATGAGCCAACAATAAAACTCAATATATATCATTTAATCAATAATGGACATTCTCAAATCATTGTGCTTCATTGTTAACATTTGCCAAAACTATTTGCAAAAGGTTATTAAAGCTTTCTTGAAAAAATGTGCGCGAGTTGCCAATTCTATCATTCTTTGAAATATTGTCAACAATGTTTCAGTGCATCTGCTTTGTTTGATGAGAAAAAGTTGTTATAGAGATACTCACAAACAAAGGGGACCAGAGACGTGGGTGTGGTTAATTGAAAAATGCAAATAATCAAGGTTCAACTGTGTACATAAAACAAATAGTTCTTTTCAGTCTGGCTCAAAATGAGAAGTTAGCATTGGATGTTGTCATTTCTAAACTTTGCAGTAATTTGTCACCTTTAAACTTGCCCCAGTCTTATTTTTAACTTGGGAAGTCATCTCTTTGTCTTCTTACCTTTTAGTGTTTTGGAGCCAACGATACTGCACTAAATATTCATGATTGATTAGAAAATACCAGGATTACAGCAATAATTGAGAAGTCACATAAAACATTTGTTGGAGCCACCTGAATCACAGATGGAGGGGATTGGGAGGGAGTTTGCAAGAAATTTTCACCATAATAATTATAAATACTGATTACACACTGCATAATTCATGTGACTGAAAAGGAACTGAATTCTAAATTCTATAGTTACATTAATTAACATCTAAAAGAATCTTTTACATACTGCGGATAGCCTAGGAATTAATAGCCCATTTCCAAACTGCTTTTGGCCTCTCAGGGCTCAACACTAAGAGTAGCCCACTAGCCACAGATTAGTAGAAATTCAGTTTTGGCTAGTGATTTTCAATTTCCACTAGCCAGTTTGACTTGTAAACAACCTGAAATTGTCTTAACATCTAAGATGTCACTAGCCACTTGGCCAGTAAGTTGAAAAGTGAGTGTTGAGCCCTGCCTCTTTCAAAACAAGTCCTGGTGCTTATCCTTTCATATGGTTACAGACTTTCTTTCACATGCAAACTAAACTCATTTTCATACAAATGGTTTAATAACAACAGGCCTCATTTTGAAAAAGAGGCCAAAGGTAACTCAGAAAAGGCCTATCAATTTCAATGTTAACTCAAAAAGAAACGATGCACAAACTTGAACTGGCAAAGGTAACTTCATAGTTTAACAAATGCTAAAAAGTGTGGATAGAAACCCATTCCCAGCTTCTTCTAGCCTTGAAATCAAGTAGAAATAATAGGCTTAATAATGTCTGACAAATTGATCCTTGTTAAAAGGTATAGGAATTTGACATCCATGGTGAAATGATGGAGAATTAAACAATTTTAATTCATATTTTCAGTAATAATTAAGCTGTTGTAGGTGATTCTTCATCACAATTTAAAAATCACAACTAACTTACCGTAACTTCAGCTAAATTTTCAGTTAATGGTCATTTTCAGAAAACAGTAAGAAGGATGGAGCACACATTGAGGTAGACTTGCTACGGGTGAATATTCAAAAGATGCTATACATGACTAGAAATACTGGTTCAGAGAGAATGTACGGTACATTCTATCTGGCTGCAGCACTTGGCGCAAACCAAGTACTTATGGAGACATAATAATGACCTTAAAATCCTATTCTTCGAAGTCCTGAGATCCTTGAACCTCATCAGTAAAAGTGGAGCCAAGTTCTCAACAGCTGTACCAAAGCCAATGTACAAGAATGAACATGTTACCACCTACCAGGGCATTGCCTTATATGCAGACACGACATTGGTGAAAGCCAACAGAATCGATGTCCCAATTATTGACAAATGAAACAAGAAAGTTGCAGCCAGCGAGATGAGCTGCCCTGGCTGGAAAACAGAGAGGTGAGAGACATTGAAAAGACCAAAGTATCGTCAACTATGATTAGAGCTCACAAACAGATACCCTGGGTACAAGATCATTCAATATAATATATTAATCATAAATGTCCTTGGCGGTTGCTCAAGAGAGGTGGACCAAGAATGCAGAAGGCCATCCTGGTAATTTCACTTCATATTGCAAGAACATTTAAGCATATGAACAGTGGAATTGATTTCCATATAACATTATTGAACATTAAGACATTCAGAGTATTTATAAATTCTTTTAATCACTTTTACTCATTTATGTTTCTAATTGTATTTAGTATAATTACAGAGCTGAGCGAAGAGTTTCCAGCAATCTGATTGGTCGAGC